GTCAAGATTCCATACAAAGACCAAAACATCTTCCAAAATTCGAATGAAAAGGACAACATCATCTTAAAGATAAAAGTTATATAAAAGCCAACAAACATCTTCCAAAGTTCAAACAACGACAAACATCTAATGCGCATATAAACCATTTAAAACTTCAAAAGAGCGCATCATAATATCTAGTGTTCATTCAAACYATCTAAGGTTTCAAAAGAGTGCATCAAAAAGTTTAATACGCATATMAACCATCTAAGGTTTCAAAAGAGCGCATAAAAGTATATTCTTCTAATGTCTAAACAAACGCTGCAATAATTATATAAACCCAAGTTGACGTCCCGTGAACCTAACCCAACCCTCACACTTATCCTCCTTCAAACACAACCAAATCTTCTTATAATCAGGGCCTAGGCTAAAAARATGAAGTGTTGCCTCATACAACGGGCTTCCCCACCCAAATTTCTCCAGTTTCTCAATGCAAGCACCCACCTCAGATTCCGTGGGTTGTTTGTCCAAAGCATTTTGCACAGAAGTGACAATCTTAGACACCTCCTCTTCATTCACTGAACTGCTTGGTTGAACACTTTTTCGTTTTTTTCTTTGAGATTGAGAACGCGAAGAAGACTCTTGTACCGAAGGCAATGTTGAACTTTATTGCTCTTGTGTTTCTTGTATTTGAGGAGCAACACGTGTAGACAATGTTTTTGAACTTTGTGTTTCTTGTGTTTGGGGAGCAATGCATGTAGGATTAGGAACAAAAGAGGTCGGCCCCCAACTTCTAACGCCCGTGGAAGCAACTCCGTCAAAAAGTTGAACACAAAGATCTGGAAATGGTAGTGGTGCAGTCCTCAACTTTTCAACATATTTATTGGACTGTTTACAAAAAAGTTATGTGTAAATAAATAAAAAAACAACTTAAAAAAAGAAAAAATAGAAAAATAAAGAATACGACCTTTGTTTCCATTTGCCATTCCTCTTCAGACAGCTTAAAAGAGTTCGTAGACGCATCATAAATATTTCCAGTTTTGTTTTTCAGTTTTGACCAAGCTCCATATTTGCCTTTGAGGTAGTCGTAATGGTTTTTCATTTGTCTTTGGTCCACAATAAAATTATGTGTCTTTTCTAACGTCTCAACTACTTTCCTCCAAGAAATTKCCTTAAGGCTACCACCCTCTCGCCCATTTATAGATATCTCTCGCAAACATGACTCTAGAAAAGTTTTTACTACATTGCAATCTTTCCAACTAACCCTAGCTCTCTTGGGTTGTGAAGATTCATCGACTTTTTCCATACCTATAGAAATTAATTAAACATGCTTCAAACACATGGTTYGATTATCCATGGTTCATGAAAAATTGCAAAGCGTAACATTATATACCATGAATTTACCATCAGAATTAACAAAAGCTTGATGTATATATGAATGAAAAAGAAGCTAGTAGTGGTGGATCTGGACCTACATATGTTGGACCTACATATACTGCARCCTATGCCAAGAAGCTAGTATACTGAAGAACCATCATTTTCATGGGACAATTTATTACCYGCACCATAAAAAAACACAGAAAGTTCATGGCTTTGCTGCTCKTGTTCTCACACAACCACTAATAACCCCCCAATACTATCCCAAKAAATGATATCCTACAAGATTTGAATATGGATGAATTCTGAGTATTTTTATTTCAGATTCTGGTTTCATTATAGTAATCACTGAATATATGGGATGAATCTGGTTTCATTGGAAATGAGTGTTTGTAGTTGCACATTAAGGGAGTAATGAGTGTTTGTAGTTGCACTGCACCATGTGTGTTCYTTAGTAAAGGTGTTACATTTGTTCTTACATGAACTGAATCTGGTTTCATTGAATATGAAGATGCATTGAACCAGTGTTCCTACCTACCTATAAAAATACCATCAAAAG